CGCCTGGTGCACGTCAGTGGAGCCAGCCGAGCTCACTCCCACCAGGCGGTGCTCCTGGAAGCCATCACTGCACCAGCAAACATGGGCATCTTTACAAAGACGCTCCCCTACAACAAGTTAGAAATAGCAAACAGTGGGAAACAGCCTGTTGTAAGTGCTGGGATGAACCCCAAGATCCCCCGTCAGGAAGGAAGGACTTCTCCCCAGCTCCCTCCTCCCGCAGCTGGGAGAGAGGCCAGCGGATAGCCCACAGCCATATGAGTCACCTTCCATGAAGAGAGCCACCCAACTCAAGGTCACGCCTCTTCCCAGAGGGGCCACACCCAACGCCTGGTCCCCGCAGGGTGTGAAGTCCCTGTCCCCTTGCCCTTCCTCAGAATAAACCTGAAGGTCACCCAGGTTTCAGAGCGCCCTGCAGCCAATCCCACTGCCTTTGTCTCGCTCATAAGGGTTGATTCTGAGGCAGAATAATGGTGCCCTAAAGATGTCCATGCCCTGAATCCCCAGGACCTGTGAATACGTCCCTCCCAGGCAAAGAGGCTCTGCAGGTAGAATTAGGTTAAGGACCCTGAGATGGCAGATCACCCTGGATTATGTGGGTGGGATCAATGTAACCACCAGGATCAGAGATGTGATGACAGAAGCAGAAGCTGGAATATGAAAACAGATATATGTATGTACAAGCATGACTGGGACACTGTGCTGTACGCCGGAAACTGACACATTATAACTGACTGTACATCAATTTAATATATATATAAAGCAGAGGCTGGAATGACGTGGGGCCGCGGGCCAAGGAATGCGGGCAGCCTGCGCCCTGGAGCCTCTAGAAGAAACGTGTCCTGCCGACACCTTGATTTTAGCCTATGAGATTCATTTCAGATTCCTGACGTCTTGAACGGTCATCTGCATGGTTTTAAACCATCCCCTGGTGGGTTTATTACAGTAACAATAGGACGCTGATACACACTCACTCCCTGCAGGCCAAGCTCTGCCTCAGAATTTGTTCCCTGGGAGCCCTGACAACACAATTTTTTAAAGTTCACCAATAGGAGACAGATCAACTCAGTATCTCCTTAAAAACTGAAAATTCTGGAGGTCTTATGAGAAACGAGATTCGTAATCGATACTGAGCAGGACCCTGTGGGAGCCTTCCTGGCACAAATCTCCCCTTGTTCCCTGTTTCTTGTTTGTAGGAAATAGGCTTCATTCGGGCTCCTTGACCTTCCCTGAGTTCCAAAGGGCAGATTCAAACAGCTGCTAACCAGGGAAGGGAGGGAAGGCAGAAACGGGGCGGAACGACCAAGACACCATAGTGCAGCCTTGGGGCAAGGTCCTGGTTACCAAAGCTGTCGTCTCAGGATCATACCCCTGCCCCTCCTTCAAATAGAAACCAACTGCTCTTAGAAACCAGTCAAGTCTCAGGAGTCAAAGAGAAGAAACAAGATTGGTTGGAACCTGCGAAGCCCAAGAGGGCAGAGGATTTGACTTCCAGGGGACCTTGAGCCTCGTTACACGGTCAGTGTGATGCAAGCTAAGTGACACCCCACCAGCGCCATGACAGTTGACAATCGCCATGACAACAACCGGAAAAGCCCACATACGAGGCCAGAAAAGAAAGGCGATTGGCTCCAGCACACCCAGAACGAGGACATGACGGCGGAAACCTCCCATAGAAGTCCACGTGGCCCGACCCGAGCCGGAGCTGCGTCTACCGGCAGCCTGGGCTGACAGCTCCTCCTGCGAGCGCCTCTCTTTCCTTCTCCGGCTTGAGCGCCTTTCCTTCCTTTCCCTCTTCTGAGCAATGAAACGGCTCTTCACTTCATCCCTCTGCTCCTGCTGCTCAGATTCCTTCACAGCTCGTGGCAAGGACCCACCCTTTGGGGGGCTTCCTAATTTAGGGGACCCTCTGTCTGACACAGGAAGAGGGCAGGGCACAGCCACTCCAGGACGGCCACAGTAGTTAACATCAAAATGGTGAAAGACTCAACCCCCAGGAGGCCTGAGGCTCAAGATGAAGAGATTTATTTAACTTCTAGCAGATCTTGAGCTTCATTCTACGCCCCCTTGTAATACATTAACATGGTGAATAACACGCCCCCAGGCGCCATGGCAGTCCCAGGGCTAGCCACCAAAGGTCAAAGGGTGGGAAATGGCCAACTTCCCGGGAATCCCAGCCCCTTCCCCTTAGACTGGTCCTTCCACTTATTAGCATATGAAGCCACCAAGCGCGTAAAAACCAGCAACACGATGCCTCGCGGCCGCCGCTCTCTCCCTCTTCGGACACGGCCCGCACTCTGTCTGTGGAGTGTGTACCTACTTTCATCTGAGCACCCAACCCCCACACCTCGTGGCCTTTCTCTTGCCTTTCAATGTATCTCTCTGTGTAAACCTACCTTCACTCAACTGTGGCTCGCTCTTGAATTCTTTCCTGCGCAAAGCCAAGGACCCACACTTGGCGGGCATGTCCCAGGGGCTCAACCGAAGCCTGGGACACGGCCCTGCTCACGCCCCACATCTGTTTTCCTGCATCACATCCACTAACATACTGACATGAAATAATAACAAATTAATAGCTTGTAATACAGAATCCTGACCACAGGCCAGCAGTGTTCTATAAGCATTTTACATGTATCTACTCATTTGACCTGTGAAACAACCTTTTTTATTATCTTCATTTTCCAGTTGGGAAAACGGAGGCACAGAGAGGTTGAGTGAATGGCCCAAGGTCACACAGCTGCTACGTGGAGGGAGTCTGATTGTCTATGACATTTTATTGAGTAAGAAAAAGGCATACTGCAGCGTATTATGTGTATTGTAATTTCATTTACATGAAACTTAGGAATACCTGAGTGCGTATACAGAATATGTATATACATATTCCAAGTGTTTATATATGCATGTGCAAAGTGGAAAAATGCCTGGAAATACAGACACCAATGAATCACTGTTTAGTGTAAACACTTCCATATTGTTTTAATAAACAGGTACTAATTCTGAAACTTACACCAATAAAAAGCATTTTACAATGCTAGTTAGACTCTCCAAACCCAGGAGTGCACATAAAAACTTCCCCAAGTCTTCCCCTGGTAAGTTTCTAGCCAAGGGAAGAAAACAGCTCGATGCAATGAACATGACCCACAAAGCCCCACCCAGAGGAGACAGGGCTGCGGGGCTCTCTGCGACCGTTCTGTAATCCTGCATTCCTCCCAGCCCCTCTCCACGTTCCCATCCTCAGTCAGGCTGTTAAAACTGGTGTGATGCAGCTGCAGGGGCAGCATGCAAACCTGCTCAGGATTTCACGTTAGGTGTGGAAGGCAAGGCACAAAACTGTCAATTCCCTTTGGCTATGATTCTGTGCAAAACAAGAGCGTGATTTGCAGCAACATCAATGGAAGGAGAGAGCCTTCGGGCTGCAGAAGCTCAAACTTAATGAAATCCGAGCTGGTAAATGGACAAGGAACACACTGGCCATTCCCATAAAGGAGAAACGGATGTAAAACGGTTAACGTCACCAGCAGTTAAAGAATGGCAGTGCACCGCGGGAGACCGGCTTTTACCCATCAAATTAGCAAGGCTTCATAGAAGCAATAACACCCAATGGTGCAAACATGCAGGGAACGAGAGACGCGGGGCTGTGGGCATGCACGTAGGCGCGTCTTTTGGGAAAGCAATTTGGCAGTAAATGTCACAATCTTGAAAAATGTTAAAACCTTGACCCTGTAACTCCATTTCTGGAAATCTAAGAAAATTATTAGAAATGCTAACAAATGTTTATATACAGAGATGTTCACCAAACACGACTCACAATAAAGCACACAGAAAACCTAAGTGCCCAATAAAAAGAGGAATTGGCTAAGCAAATTAACCATTACACTGTATATAACGAGCCATTAGAAAGTTTTTAATGAAGAGTAATGATTACTCATAACACGGTAGGTAAATAAAGAAGGATTCCAGAGAACTGCTAACATATAACTATATGAGGAGAAAGTCGTCCAAATAGATGGGGAATGGAGAGCAATAATCCTTCACATTAATGGTAAGTGGTGACTGGGGGTAGGGTCAGAGGAAAACAAATTATCTTCTCTTGCTTTTCTCACTATTTTGTAATTTGGGGATGATACTTTGATAATGAGAAAACACAGCATATATAGTTTAAAAACTGAAAACACCTTCCCTGTCTCTCCTTGAAGCATCTCATTCGTTTGAGGTTTCCTCCTCAGACAGCCTCAGAACTGCCCCTTTCCAGACAGACCACTCACACCTGGTTCATTCTGTCTTCTTCGTGTTTGCTTCCACGTGTCTTCCATTCAACTCACCTCCATCTGGTGTAATGCACACTGTAAAGTACCCACACTGTGCAGAGACACCTGGCGCAAGCCCACACAGAAGGGTGGGACACAGAGAGGCACAGACGTAGTCCCCTCCCTCCTAAGCTAAGGGTTTAACAGAAGAGCCAGGCGGACAACGGGTGTCCTGTCATCCAAGAGCAGTGGAAAAGGTGCCCCAAAGAGGCCAAAGTAACCTGCCACGGGCACTCAGGGGACAAAGTAGCTCTGACTGGGGCAACTGCAGGGGGTGACAGTTTAGCTGGGTAGCAGGGCAGATGAAAGGGCACCCCTGCTAGTGGGTGCGGAGACAGCAAGAGCAAAGGCCAGAGGCACAGGAGGTTGCAGGGGGTGGCTCCAGGATAATAAGCAGCCAGGTGAGTTTACAGCAGAGACAGAAAAGTAAGGCGAGATCAGGGAGGGCTTGTGTGCCAGGCTACGGAAACTGGGCTTTCTTCTGCGAACGGGGGAACCGCCGAAGGGCCTGAAGGCAAAGAAGACAGATTCCTGAAAGAGAGTCCTGTCTTCCCACTGTTTGTGCAGAAGAGCACAGCTCACGGCTGGGCTCACGGCAGACGCAGATACAGGGATTTTTAGCTCCACACGATCAGACCCGCTGAAGAAACACGTGTTCCAGAACTGTGCCCCCATCCTGGAGCTGCCACTGACCTTTGTCCTGCACCAGCACTTCCAGCTCCTCCCGAACGCCATCGCACCAGCTGGTGATGTCCACGTGCAGGGAGTAGTCGCAACAGGATTTGGTGTCAGCTGCTTCGTGCCATTTCTCAAAGGAGGTCAGCAGGCTGGACCCCGGTTCAGGGACAACATGGTCAACTGGGACAGAAAAACATGTGTCATTCTAGGACGCTTAGGGCCCAAGTTGTTTCAATGGCAGTCTCTTCATCACCATGACCCCCATCACCACCATCACCTCCAATATCAGCGTAGTCATCATAACCATCGCTGTCACCCCATCACTGTCATCAGCACGATCATCACCATCATCACCACTGACATCATCCAAATCAACACCCTCTCATCACCACCCTCCCGTCATCACTCCCACCACCACCAGCATCAACATCGCCATCACGGTCACCAAGATTACCACAACCATCAGCAGTGACATGCCACCACCACCTTCAGTCTTCATTCCCACCATCGTCACCACCATTGTTACTGTCATTTTCACCATCATCATGACAACTACTTATCGAATGCTTTCTGTGTGTCAGATACTGCCACAAAGGTTTCACATAAAGATCTCGTCAAATCCTCACTACTATCCTGTGTAGTGAATACTAATATCCCCATTGTGCAGATGAAGAAACTGAGGCTCAAAGAGGGTAGAAAAATTTGCCCGAGGTCACACAACTCGTAAGCAGTAGAAGATTCCCAGAGTCCCGTCAGCTGCACGATGTGACTTCGGGGACACAGACCAGCAAGGTGAAAAGGAGCTTAGAGACTGAAGGAATATTAACGTCATCATCCTTTTCTCAAATAAAAATCTCAGCTGTAAAGCAGATCAAAGGGAGGCACCTGTCTTTTAAACCTCACTGAGCTTCGCAAATCTCTCTGGCTACTGCCCTGTTTCTCTAACACCCACCCTTCACAGTCAGACGTCTATAAAGACCAGTCTCTGCTCTCGCCCTCCCTCTCACGCCGCCCACCGGAAGCATCAGCCTTTGCTAATTCGACCCTCCAGTCCTCATCCTACTTGACCTCTCAGGGCAGAGTGAATCGCTCCCTCCTTTAAACTCACTCCTCCCTGGCTTCCGTGGCAGCACAGCTTTCTGGCTTTTTGTCCTGCTTCTGTGGTCATTTTTCCTTCAGTTTCCTTGGAGACTTCCTCCTCTCCTTGGCCACTAAGTGATCCAACTCCTTATGACTTGGTCCTAGAACTGTTCTTTCTATGCGGCTGCTCACTAAAATGCATCACCCCGCCTCGGCCACAGAACTCTGAACTCAGCTGTTTCCCTGACCTCTCTACCAGGACGGCTCAAAGGCTCCTCGAAAATAAAGTGTCCAAAACCTCATGTAACATCGTCCCCTCCTCCCCCTCACTGGCAAACCTGGTCCCCCACCCCCACCCCAGCTGTCAAGGGTGCCCTGCAGTTCCACCAGCTCGGAGCCCAGGGGTCAACAAGTGCTGTCCACTTGCCTCTGACACACCCCTGGAGCTCCCCACGTCTGTCTGCTTCCATGGCTACACCTTCATCTCACAGCTGAACTACTGTAATCGCCTCCCACTGGTCTTGTCACGTGCAGCCTAGGCTACTATTCTGGTCTCTTTAAAACAGATCATCTTACCCTCTGCTTAACATCCCTCAGTGGCTGCTCACCACCCTTAAGAAAAAGACCCAAATTCTCACCTGGGCCATTGAGGCCCAGTACCATCCTCTCCTCCCAGCCTTATCTCACAGGATGCCTGCCCTCAGTCTCTGCACCCTTGCCTCATGGGCTTCCTTTAAGTCTCTTAAATGCAAGATGTGTTTCATACCACAGGGCCTTTACACATGCTGTTCCCGCTTCCCAGAGCTCTCTTCCCTCCCACCCTCTACACCCAGTCAACGCCTACTCATCCTTCAGATCGATGCACAAATGCCACTTCATCAGGGAAGCCTCCCCTGAGCCCTCTGTCCTGCAGTTCAAAGCACTGTGCACCACTAATCCACTTACAATCAATCGTGGGGGTGACTAGTGACTCCCCAGGGACTGTGAGCCCCTGGAGAACAAGCATCGTGTCTGCTTTGTTCCTTTTCTCCGCCACCACCTAGCACAGTGCCTGGGGCAGAGCAGCCCTCAATAAATGTCTGCTGGAAGAAGAAATGGGGCAGGGACTCAGAATCTTCCTGCCCCCTCTCACATGCCTCCTAACTGTGGTCCTCAGGGTGCTTTCATAGGCTCTCGGTGTTCCAGGAAACACACTTTGAAAACCACCCTTTTAGAGATGGGGAGAATGAGGCCCACGGGGTTGGTGGAGGGGTCTCCTGGTGGTCTCGCAGCTGGCGATGGGAAGAGAGCAAAAGAGAACTCCAGGATCATGATTTGTCATCCAGGGATCTGTCCTCTACCCCACAGAGGTCCTCTGAGCCTGGAACTTCCATCTCCACCTCTCAGACTGTCCCAGTTCGTATTTCCCAAGCACGTACACTGTACGCCATGCGCTGTGCCAAGGAGCTGCATGTACAGGGAGGGGTGGGGGTCACCTTACAAAGCCCACGTTCCTGCTGAGGAAGCTGAGGCTCACAGAGGCTAAATACTGCCCGGTGGTGCCCTGTTGAGTGGTGGTGATAGGTACAGAGCCTGGTGACTGCGATCCAGGTCTGCCCTGGTCCAAAACCTGGGCTCCTCTCAACATCCCAACCAGCAGACACAAGGCTACTTTTTAGAAAAGTGACCAGGAGGGTGCTTGTCCCCAGAGCTCGTCATACCCTCCCGGCTCAGAGGGACAGGGAGCTCTGACACGTGAGCTCTGCCCATGGTGGCCAGCTCCAGCCAGGCGGCGCTTCCAGAAGAACTCCTCGATGTGGGGAGACGGGCAGGGTTGTGGTCAGTGCAGGGACAAGCCACCTAGACGTGGAGCCCAACTGTTGACTGAACATTTCAAAAACATGCTGCCTCTTTAGTCAAAATTGCTTACTAATAAACAACAAGATCTTATTGGGTAGCACAGGAACTATATTCAGTATCATGTAGTAACCTAAAATGAAAAAGAATATGAAAAAGAATATATATATATATATATATCTGTGTAACTGGATCACTATGCTATAAACGAAAAATGAATACAACACTGTAAATTGACTATACTTCATTTTTAAAAGTTGCTAATTAATATGGAACCCAAACAAAAGCAGCTATTAAAAAAATGCAACAAGCTGGCTACAAAGGGCAGTAGAGGAAGAGTCCAGCATCCCAGACAGACCACTGTGGTAGACGGCATTATCTGTCCACAGTTCCTCCTTCCCTCCCTACCCTCACCATGGTTCACGGTGGCCAGGATGCGATTTTAGGGACTTTGGGCTTGGCCGTGCGACTTGCTTTGGCCAACAGAATGAAGGCAGAAGTCACAGTGTGTAGGTGAAGACATGAGGTGCTAAGAGGAGTAGCAAGTTTCTGCCAGACCCTCTTACACTTGTGCCATCCACTGGGAGCAGAGCATAGCTGCACTGGTCATTGGTTCCAGAATGGGAGACCCGTGGTGCCCTCCCCAAACTCAACCCACAGCCTGAAGCAAACCCACTCCAGTCCTGCTCCTATCCCCGCAGACCCTTGAATAAGAAAAACAAGTGTTGCTTGAAGTTTGGGGACTGTCTGTCACGCACCATTATCACGGCATTACTGACGAATACAACCACTTCCCAGCTGTGTAGCCTTCAGCAACTTCTCTCATCTTTCTGAGCCTCTACTTCACCATCTGTCATAATAATACCTATATCACGAGTTCCCAAACTTTAGCCACTTGCACATCAGGGCCCTTAAGCAAAGTTCTTGGTGTCACTCAAGACGCTGGGGATGTGGAAGAGAAGTCACAGCCTCTGTCCTAAGGCCAGGGTATGACTCACTGATCATCGTGGTCCCACCGGCCAGCGCTGCCTTGGTCCCCTGGAAGAAGTCGTCGGCGGCCGTCATCCCCTGGGAGGGCTTCTGCAGGTACGTGTTGACATCAATACCTCCAGGAACAACCATCCGCCCATTGGCCTCGATGGTCTTCACTCCGCCAGGAACGATCAAGTTCTCCCCGATTTGTCTGGAGACAAACAACAGAGACGGTCTTGGTTCTTAAAAGGAAAACAAAATGGCGGCCAACTCTGCAGCTTCAGTTCCATTAGATACACATTTCTGAGACGGATGCTCTGCAGGGCAGTGCATGGACAGAGATAACTCAGGCAGGGTCCCTGCCCTCCAGGGGCTCCCAGCCTAGCGAGGAGGAAAGACACGTAAGCAGACGGTTACTATCCAGTTCAGGAGGGCAGGCGGGGAGCCCAGGGTGGGCCGATCCAGCAGCCTGGTTATCTGGAAGGGCTGCCAGGGGCAGGCAGTAGGAGAGCTGAATTGAGCAGCAGCGAGACCAGCATCTGCATCAAGCAGCAAAGCTTCTTGGAACAGCCTGTCACTCAGAGTACTTCACACACATTTGGCAACTGCCCTGGGGACACAGAGGTGAGCAAGGGAAGTGAGACAGTGGGAAGTTCCCTGAGCTCGGCAAGTCTGCAGAGACAGGGCTACAGGGTGAATTCCGACTCTCCAAAATCCACATGTTGAAGTCCCAACCCCCAGCACTTCAGGATGCAACTATATTTGGAGAGAGGGCCTTCAAAGAGGTCAAAATGAGGTTGTTAGGGTGGGGCCTGATCCAACCTGACAGGTGTCCCTAGCAGAAGAAGCGATTAGGACGCAGACATGCTGAGAAAGAGCACGAGAGGACACGAGGAGAAGACGGCCGTCCACAAGGCCAGGAGGGAGGCCGCTGGAAAAGCCAGCCTGCCCGCATCCTGACCTCAGACACCCAGCCTTCAGGACTGTGAGCAATAACTCTCTCTTGTTTACACCTCCCAGTTCGGGGACTCTGTTCTGTCAGCCCTGGGAAAACGATACAGACAGGCCTCGTGAGCACCGGCCTCAGGGAAGCCGCTTACCCTCCGGCCGCGAACACCACACAGCCTGCCACGGGGGACTCACCGGCAGCCGCAGGGCTTCCCTGAACACACGGACCCGCCCTCCTGTGCTTGGCGCCTGCAAACTTCCCCTAGGAGGAGGGAAGACTCCAGAAGCTGGAGAAGCAGGAGGAGCCTAAGAATTTCAAAGCCTCACCCCTGTGGGGTCAGCTGTGTCTTATCTGTGGGAACAGGAGTCAGGGGGCGTCTCCAGGGGGCAGCGGGGGGGCTCAGCCGGCCCAGGGCAGATGCAGCCGCCTCCCTCCAGGGCCAGGGCCGGTGGAGACCAGCTGACCGTGGGCAATTTTTATGAAAATAAAAAGAAATCCAGTTCTGAACTCTTGGGTTTGGCCCCAGTATGAGTTTTTCTAAATTAGATAAAGACATCAGTAATGAAGACACAGGAAAACGCAGCTTTGGGGGGCACAGTGCCAGGCCCCAGGCAGAATCCGCACACAGGTGCAGAAGCAGAAGCTCCCCGCTCTCCTGGGCCCCGGGCTCGGCTGGTCCAGGCCGGTCGGGGCACAAAGGCACCAGGGCTCTCCTTGGGGGCACTCCCACAGACCTGGGGCATCACACACTGTCTGCCCTGAAGCCGGAAGCCAGTCTAGTCAGAGCGCAGCGCCGGGGCCCTGGGGAGCCCCCGGGAAAGTCAGCGTTCTGCCACTTTCGCCGCCAGTACACCTGCTGCCTCTGATCGCCAGTCCCCCTCCGGCCATCACTCCCATCTTCACGTACAGAATCTTGTCCAGTCCTCCCACCGTCCATCTCCAAGGTCGTGGCCGATGCCAGGAGCTGAAGGGAAGCGGTTCAGGGAAGTCACCCTCACTCAAGCTTTAAAACAAGAGCGGTGAACTGCTATAAAGCACCGACCGAAGGACACTCTCCCAAGCACTTCACGGCCTCATTTGTGCTCGCACTAGCTTTTAGGGAAGACGGGGTGATGTTCAGAACGCACAGCGCTGGCAAAGAAACGCCACTGCTCGATCGGAATGGGCGCGTGCGCAGGCACTCGGCACAGCCCTCCACACAGGAATCAGTGGAGTCACCGCCAGTCTGATCCAGGTCTGCGACTCGGTCGCCGTGCTGTGGGGACGAGTTCTCTTGTCCGGGGCCATTCTCAGCGGGCAGATCGTTGTCTCTCTTTACCCTCCTCCTCTAATCTCTTGCCAACAACCCGTGAGAGAGGAAGTGTCACATTTTGCAAAAGAGGAAATCGGAACTCAGAGTGGTGTGGTGACTTGTCCGAGGCTGCACAGCGAGTCAGTGTTGGGTCTGGATTCAAGCCCCGTCTCCCCAAGTCTGCTATCAGATTCTGCCCTCCAAGCTGAACTGCCTCCCTGCTTCCCTTCTGCAGAAGCAGCAGATTCTCCCCAAACTGGATCCCCCAGCGAACCCCCGATGAATCAGGAGGCAGACTCCCCGAACAGTTCTCAGCAGAGTGCGCGTGGAAGGAGAGGAGAGAGGGGAGCTCAGAGGATCAGCCAGGCACCTGCCCGACCCCAGCACCTCCCTCACCGCTATTCAGAGAAACGGCCCTCCGTCATCAGCACTTGACTATCCAAACTGATGGAGCCCTCAGTGGCTCACAATAGATTCTGCACAAACACGGCTCAACAGCTTTTAGGAAAACTTGACAAATGGCCTCAAAATGAGAGGATTCTGGGGGTTTAATCAAAGTGAAGGGAGGTAACCCAGCCTCCTGATGCCCAGTGGTCCCTCGGGCTCTCCCTTCTTCCACACCTACTTCTCGCCAGTGGGGATCGTGCCCCCCAGGACCATCCAAAGATCCTGCGAGGCATTCAGTCACCCTCTCTGCTAAACAGGAGGGGAAAGCAACAACACCAGGGCTTAGAAAGCTTTTCAGCAACAGGGGTAAGATTAGAGGCATCTCCCACCAGGAGGAGCTGACAAATACTCAACTTATGGAAACTGCGTATTTCCTGAATACCCTGGATAGTAAGTCCTAAGGCTCCAGGTGTTCACACATACAGCAAGCACTTAATAAACGCAGCCCAACCGATGAGGACTTGTTCCATCTGCACACATCCTGGATTGCAAGCCTTCTAACCTCCAAGCACGTGTGGCTGGTGGGAATGGTGGTCCCGTGAAAGGGGTCTCAACGTCAACTCACCCAGGACCCCAGAACGCTCAGCCCAGACTGCCTGTGCCTCATCTAAGCAGTGGTGACTTCGAACCCTCACTTCTGGATGCATCTTACCCCCAGCCCCATCATCTGCCTTTATCCACTTTCTGGTTCCAGGCTGTGCCATGGCTGAGACCGAGGTCCCCACCATCTGATGTGTCAGGGTTTGTCTGTTACGCTCACTCCATCAACACTTGGGGTTCTATACCCCACCCCTGGCACTGCGCCAGGTCCCAGGCTGGGTGGCAATAAAGCAAGACCCCTGGTCAGGAGCCTGAGGAGTGCTGTGACCAACAGTGGCACACGGCAGGGGGTCAGCACAGGGGAGGGGGGCAGCCAGGGCTCCAGAAGGCTTCCTGGAGGAGGAGCCACACAAGCTGGGTCCACAGGACAAAAAGGAGTTGCAGGGCAGAGGGACGAAGGGAGAGTAGGGGGAGGGCAAGGCATTTTGGGGGAGGATCTCTGGTGCAAGGTTCCCAGGTGAGAGGTGCCTGGCGCCAGTTTTCAGTGCAGCTGGAGAGAAGGAGCTGGGGGAGGGGAGGGGATGAACGGAGGAGGTGTGGTCTGAGCTGGACTTGAAATGGTCAGACCTGGGACTCGGGGTGGGGAGACAGGCAGAGGGAGGCAGGGACGGGCTCCACGCTGCCCTCGGTACCCTCCCTTCACAGCGCTCTCTGTGCAGATGGTCTCTTAATGTGCAGGACAATCCACAACCCCTCTTCCTCCTCTGCCTCCTCTTCCTCCTCCTCACCTTAATCATCACCATCATCAGAGCACACGTGGCCCCAGACAGTCCCACCAATAGACCCCATTCCTGTTTGAACTTGGCCTCGCTCATGCCCTCTCTGCCTTTCCTTCAAGTTCCAGCTGCCAAGCCAGATCCCGAGACGCCCTCCCACTCCACTCAGCCAGGCTGTGGGGAAGGGGCTGGGTGGCAGATGGCGACACGTGGAAGCCACGTAAAAACCGCTGTCTTGTGTTACCAACTGAATTCTGTCCCTTAAATCCACATACTGAAGCTCGAACTCCCACATCTCAGAATGTGACTGTGTTTGGAGACAAGATCTCTAAAGAGATAATTAAGTTAAAATGAGGCCGTGGGGGTGAGGGTCCTAATCCAAGAGGTCTTTATGAGAGGAACGGTGATGTCCTTATGAGAGGAAGAAAAACCAGAGCTTTCACACACACACAGAGGAAAGGCCATGCAAAGACACAGCAGGAAGACAGCTGTCTGCCAGTCAGGAAGAGAGACCTCAGGAGAAACACCCTGCCAGCACCTGATCCAGGACTTCCAGCCTCCAGAAATGTGAGAGAGAAATTTCTGTTGCATGACCTGAACAGTCTGGGGTATCGTGTTACAGTGGCCCGAGCTAACACACCTGGGATGTCACAGCAGGGCAGGAGAGGCAGCCGATGGGGAGAAGGCAATGGACAACTGCAGTCCCACTGAATGCCAAAGCTCGGCCTGGAGGCCAGGCCTTCCTCCTTTCTCTCCTGGCCCGCTCAACCCAATTCCAGAAATTGTGGGCAGGTAGGGGAAAGAGGTATGAATTCAGGCAGACATACTAGGTTGGAATCCAGGCCTTGCCCCTAACTCATTCTGCAACATGGAGCAGCCAGTGAACCTCAGCATCTCCTCTAAGAGCAGAAGAGTGGCCAGCGTGTGTACTTGACGGCCCCTGTGGGCCGGGTGGCCCGCCTGAGCACCGCGGCAGGGAGCGGGCATGGGGCACGGGGCACACGGCAAACACAAGCCCCTTCTCCACCCATGGTGTGCGCCCCCATGAATCTCCCCACCCCTGGGAGTCACAGGAGCTGTCCCATTCATTCTGGAGCAGAGCGCCAGCTTTCCATCCCCGCTAAGGGCTGGGCAGCCTAGTAGGGTGGGCTTCTTAAAAGGTCCGTTTAGTCAACCCACTTTATGAGTCCGTCTTCCAGGTAGACGTCGGCATAGAAGGACTGGTCATCGTTAATGATCCGTCCACCTTTGATGAGGAGCCGGTCACTCTGAAAAGCCAAGCAAAGTAGTAAGTGTCATTAAAGAAAAGCCAGGAAATGTTTTTGTTCTTTCTAGCTTTTAACATAGAAAGTTTAAATTGTTTCTAAAGGGAAGATAAGGCATAAAGAGCCCCCTCACAGCCATCACCCAGATGCTTTCAATACTTCAGCATTCTTATATCACCTGCTTCCCCCCTCCAACACTTCGGCTTTTTTTTTTTTTGCTGAAATATTTTAAAGCAAATCCCAAATATCACATCATTTCACCTATACATACTTCAGTTTATAACCTCTGTTAGGGAGTTTTTAGATGAACATAATCACAATCCGTTATCCCAATAAACCCAATTAACATCAATTCTTTCATGTCAGTTAATAGTCAGACCACATTCAATTTTACTTGATTCTCTCAAATACGTCCTTTTAGAGTGGGTTGGTTGGAATCAGGATCCACCCAAAGTCCAAACTGCACCTGGTCCACAATTCTCTACAGTCTGTTAAAAATCAGTGCTGGCCCCTCCGCCCTTATTAATGTCTTTCATTTGTTGAAGAAACCAGGTCATTTGTAGACTAAGAATTTCTCTTACAGCAGTATTATTGAATAGAACAAACCCAATTTAGGGACATTTTAAAAGAGAATTAAATGACTAAAGACTAAATGCAACTCCTCCAGAAATACCTCCCATTGTTGTTCTCATGTTTTGCTCCCATTTCCCTATATTTCCATCCTTGCGCACGTATCCATTCACTTGTCTGTGCACCCATCATACTGGCCACTTGCCTCGGCTCCAAGCCCAGGGAGGAGCCTAGAGTAACCAGGGTAAAAGGTGCTTTCCTGGAGATGATCAGGGAGAGGCAGAGGTTTAACCAATCACGGGACTTGAGAGATTCCAAAAGAGGACAAGCACAGGGTGTCCACCACGGGAGCAAAATGAAAGGGCTGCCAATCGTACTGGGGGTCAGGCAAGGCAAGCTCAGATCTAGAAAATAATTCAGGCGAGTGCTGAGTGCCTGGGCAGAAAGAACAGGTGTGCCAAGGCCCAGAGGCTGCAAAGGATGCAGCAAACTCTAGGAGCGAAAAAACCACACAATTGTGTCCTTTTTGCTTTTTACCGTTTTACCGTCAGCCTATCCCAAGTTATTCCACGTTCTGCATAACCATGTGCAAATGGCTACAAGATATTCCACTTTACGGATACACAATAAATTGTCTAACTGCTCCCCCACTGTTTTTTTCACTGTTTCACAATGATACATATTGCTACAGTGAACATCTTTGTGCACAAAGTTTTCCCCTTAATTTGGGCTATTTTTTAGGCTAAATTCTCAGAAGTTTAACAACTGGTCAAACGGTATAAACCTTGTTTGTGGCCCTTGAGAAATATAACCAGATTGCTTTGCAAAAGTACGTCCCCAATTCTCCATCATGAGATGGCCAAGCATCCTTGGTTATCATTCATATTTGTTAATTTGCATTTCTGGGAGGCTGAGAATTTTTTTGCCATGTGCATGTTCACTATTTCTACTGTCTCCTAGCGAAAGATGTGGTGATGGATAGAACACAGCCTGTGCCCTTCAGCCCCACCCCTCAGGCAGGAAGAGAGACAGTGGACAGATGGTACGATTCATAGCCGCCGCTTATGAGGAGGTGTCCTGCAGGGGTTCCCCTGAAAATGGAGCCTGAGACAAGGATTTAGAGGCAGCAGTGATTCTGGGAGGTGATTCCACGAAACAGAGTGAGGAAGTGGGCAGAGGGAGGCAGGCATGGAAATCTAACACAGGGTACGCTCTGATCTGGCTAATGCTCTGAGCAGCTGGATCAGGACCCTCTGAGGAAACTTCTAGAGCTAGAATGCACCTCAGATTGGTCCCAGTGGTCCCATGGTATCAGCCATGAGAGGAAGGCAGATGATGCTGCAGAAGCCCGGAAAAGAAGGGTTTCACCCAAACTAAGGATCAGGAAAGGCTTGCTGAGCAGAAACAAAGCAGGCAGCCTGCTGCTCAGAACCGTCTGGTGGCTCCGTGCATTGGTATATTTCCCTCAGAGTGATGTTCACCACGTCAGGGAGACCCTGCTTCATCTGGAACCCTACCATCCTGGAAAAGCACACTCTCTGACTTGCTTCAGGTCTCTGCTCAGTGTTACTCACCTGAGAGCCCCCACCGTGGCTGCCCCACCTGCAGACCCCACACCCCTCTGCCACTTGATGTTTCCGCAGTGCTTCATATGGTTCATCTGACCTGTCGCATATTTACGTGTCCGCCTAAAAAGTGACTTGCCCCACTGACATCAGAGCTTGGTGCGTAATCCCACAGGCACAACTCACAGCGGACCGACTACATGCACACTGATGTAGACAGATGGTGTCACCTAGAGCTGTCCCTGCAGTTCCTTAAGAGACTCAGTGCCATGGGGGTAGAGGTTTCATCTGTTTTCTTCACTGCTGTATCTCCACTACTTTGGACACAGCCTGGCCGGATGGATGGATGAATGGATGCCTGAACTGACTCTCGAAGGATAAACGGGTGAAGACGGAGAGAAAAGGCATCACCGCCAGGAGACAAGAACCATGAGCCACGAGCCAAGGAAGACGAGCTGGAACCAGCATGTCCTGTTCTCCAGGAGGAGGGTCTCTGGAGGAGGTGGCTTCAAGCTCAGTCATTTCCAGGCCCCACACCCTGCCTCTTATCCACAAGATAGAAGCCAGTCACCATTTGTGCATCCCCAGGGAGGGAACTCAGCGTGGCCTCTGGGATACTCCAGGACCCAGGGAAAGGGGCGTGGCTCTGCATACGCAGGAGGAGAGACACGCTGGTGTGCAGGCTTCCCCGGGCACCAGAAAGCAGGGAAACAGGAGTCAGCGGCAGCTGGTGCCTGGCTTCTGGAACACGGCCTCCCGCAGGCAGCCATCACCTCATCACATCTGATAAAGGGCTTTCCAGGCTAATCCCGAAAGGTGGTATTTAATGTGCCGTGCATCAGAAGATCAGCCCCGCCCTGCTCTGCTCCTGGAATCAGATGTTCACATCCACGCATCCCGCCTCCGCCAGCTACCAGCAGATGCTGTGCACAGCTACCACAGGTCCCAGCTCTTGCTGTTCTCAGGAACCAGCGTATCTCATACACACACACACACACACACACACACACACACACACA